GGCGTGCTGGGGCAGTTGTAGTACGCTTTCTCTTGCGTGTAACTGTTGTTGTAGTTGTCTCCTCCTCCTCGTGATGCTGCAACTGTTGTTGTTGTAGTATTTGCTGTATTATTTGCTCTATCTGCGCCAGCTTAGCAGTCACTGAACCGTCCTCCTTCGCCTTCTTCTTCCTTATACGCTTGGCACGCTGCTGAGTTGCCTAATCAGCTCGCTCTACAACCTCGAATTATGAAGGCTCTCTTATAGCTGTACTGGCTGGTGTTGAAGAAGCTTGCTGGCGAGGACGACCCTTGCGGCGTTGCTCTACAAAGTCCTTAATACGACGAATCGAGTCCTCTGGGTTAGTAGGTGTCTTATAGCACCAGAATGGGTATATCATGCTGAGAGGGATCGTCCACTGTTCATTTACACTATAGTACTTAATTGTGTGTGAATAGGGCAAACCTATAGAGTCTTTAAAGTTGTTGTAGCAAGTGTTGTTGTAGTCCTTCTGCTTTATGAGAGCAATCTGCTCAATTACCGCATCTAGTGCTACAGGGAACACGTGCTTGAGAAGGCTCGTAAGCAGTGGCTCGCTCTTATATCTATGCTGAAGCCGGCTGTATCCTCTTGATTCGATCTTCGTAATATCCTGCCACTCGTTGGCAAGAGCGTTGCGAATATTGTCCTTTAAACTAATAAAGTCCTGTATCTGGAAGCTGAAATACTCCTTTATACGCTTGTGGGCACCTTCTGCGAGCGAAGTTACACTATATAGTTAACCGAATTCAGTAGTAGGGGGTGAATAAGCAACATCTTACTATATATTAAAGTTGAGGTGGCGATTAGTCCATCTATAGCACCACTCCTGCTTGTGCGGGATCTACTGACTGTTTATATAGTTGACGAGACCCTCCTGTTCAGCGTAATATTCTTAAAAGTTGGCCCAGCGGGTATTAAATTCGGTAGGAGAACGAGCACTAATTAGCTCGTAGAATCGGTGGGTACATTCGTCGCGTAGTTACTTGATTAAAGCAGTATCCTCTGCGTCGTCCTCGTCCTCGTTACATGCCCACGTCTTCAGTATCCTTGTGCCAACATTCTTTGCAATATGCCATGTACATATTAACTAAGGGACGTCGAAGTATTGACGGAGGCTGTTCTTTAGTGCCATCTCACAGTCGGATACGAATACTGATGGAGTCTTCAAGCCAGCAGCTATAAACTACTCAATTGCCTAAGAGTATTCGGCCTCACACTCTCTCGCTAGTAAGCAGAAGCCAATGGTAAATGGCCTACCAAGTAGTGTCTTGCCAACAACATAGAGTAGAGGGATTGATTGATTGATTGATTGATTGATTGATTTTACGTCTATATGCAGTTGGAAACTATGACGGACGGTCCGTTTAGGAC